AATAAAATATCTCCTTTTGAAGTGGACTTTGAGCTTTGTAACTTTGCAGATCTTTTTTATGCTCAAACGGCAACATTACAGACTAACTAAAGGTGAAAAAGTTAAAAAGCATAATAGGACCCCTTTAAATGAATGATCCCATTTCCAGCACCTTGAAACCATTCTGCTCTGCAAATCTGATGATCGTCTCTCTCCTTTCTCTTGTTGTGTTTGTGGCATCAAAGACCTGAAGATTGTAAAGCAAAACGGGTAAATGCATAAAAAACAATGAAATGTTAAATCGCAACTAAAGAAAGACAATGACTTGTACTTGAACACAGTATTTGTACCCATGACATTTTCTATTCTGTTCAATGTGTTTATAAATGACGTTTTCCTTACTGCCACCTGACCGCCTTCATCTGTGAGGAACTGCCGTACATCATTGAGAGCTGCCAATGCACACTGCCTAGAAGAGTCAAGGAATCACATGAGCTTCTAAGAATTCTTTAAAAAAAACCAAAAAAAAACCCAGTAGTTTCATTTCACATTTGGAATGGTTGCCACTGATAAAAAAAGCAATGTCTTACTTCCTGATTTTAAGCCCCTCTTCATTGTCTGGCTGAAAGAACTCAAAGGATTTGTAGATCTTCACACATTCACGTCTGTACTGTCCAACGTTAAACTCTGCAGGGGTAAAACGTCAAGATAAACCAATTTCAGGATGAGCAAAGCCACTAATATTCAACACATCTGGAACAACAAATTCATGGCCAGAATTTCAACCGCTGTCACAAATCTGCATTTTATAGTCTAATCACACTGCAAGTGCTTGCGTACCTTTCGTTGGAACATCAATCCAGTTGAGGTAGCGTGTCAGTTTCTTGGAGATGTAGGTCTTTCCTCTGGCTGGTAGACCAACGGTTACTATAAGTGTGGGGCAGTTGGTCATGCATACTGTAAGAAGAAGAAAAAAAAACAGCAGCTCATAAAAAAAAACAATGTTTAACAATAATATTCTTCCCACATACTGCAGGTGAACTGTCAATCACCACACCATGTGGTGTAATTAACATACGTGTTTTCGTCTATGTGCAGGTTGGGTGAACTTTTTATTGCTATAATAAAATCTGTGAGTTGTCATTGTAGAACATAAGTCATTTCAGTATCTCCACATAAAATTGCATATAATCATATCAATGTCCACATAGTCCTGCAATTTAAAATGGGTGAACATGATATGGTGTTGCTGGTCTGTACACTGTTCATATTATACTATTTAAAAAAAAATACACCAAAATTCAAATAAGTACAGCTTTTTAGAACTGAAACCGTTCTGTAACAAATCAAAAACAGAGCAATTTTACAAGAGCGATATTTAGCCGTTGAAATGTTTTAGAGCACAGCATTAGTGATAATTAGAGATTTTAAAAAAAAAATCCATGTACTTTAACAATTTCCATAACCTTCACTGGCCTATAAAACATCATTTTAAAATTCCCTTACAGTTCCAGGTTTTCCATAAATGTGGGAATGCTGAATCGATATGAAACAATGGCACTGTAAATATTTTATATATGCAAGTATATAAATTGTATACTATTAATATTATTGTTATTGATATTATTATTAAATATGAATAGTTTATTTGAATATGCATTTACTAGTGAACTATTGAGTATTACGTAACAATTTTAATTGTTATTAATGAATGTTTTAACGTTACATACATACAAATAAGTCTATTTGATACGTTTAATTAAAACAATGAAGTGCAATCAAACAAAGAGCCTCTAGAACTGCCCACAGTCCAGCTCTAAACCTGACTTCAGCATCAATGTCCGGCTCATCCTTTCATCCACACTTACCCTTTCTTTGACTAATATGTCTCTCTGGAAGGCCGTTTGTGGAGGATGGCACCCATATTTTCTTTAAAGGATTCTGTGTGAGCTCTCGGGTTAGACTATTACCGCATTGCTCCGTGCTGTCCTCTGTTACATTCATTATATTCGTCGTCTCTACACACGAGCGTCCATTGTCATCAGCGCGCACTAAAGACAGTGCCGAAGAACGTATGAGACTCGTTGAGATTAAACACTACCGTAACGACACGAACATGCGCACCGACTACACTTTACCGTAATGCCTGGTGTAATTTACCTAGTGATTAGAATAGATAAATATACGGTGATTAAGTAAAGGACAGAGAAGCGGTTTCCAAAAATAAAGTAGTTTAGCGGCTTGCTCTATATAAGTGTCTACATTTTAATAGTTCTATAGTACTTTAAACTTAGCTGTTGAAAAGATTTTCTGTATTTTTCCGTCCATTCTATGGTCGCGTATGTGTCTGCTACTTTACTCAGCGCTGGGTTGCTGCAGCTCCAGCGTATTTATTTCTTTATTTGTAAGGTACCATTATTTAGATTAAAGTTGTTATTACATTATTATTAGTGTACAAATGCCTCCAATAAGACGAAAAAATCGTCATGAGCTGAGAATGTTGCAAGAATAACTTTTATAGGCTATCGTTATTAATAGCCACTTCGCTTAATTTATACAAAACATTGAAGATTTTACATCAAAAAGATGTGTACCAAAACCTGAAGGTGGATATTTTTAGAATTACAGTATAATAAAGGGCAGTTCACTTTCTAAAAAAAAAAAAAAAATCAGTCGACAGAAGACATGTAGAAGGCTGTGTACAACAGGGTTTTCAGCAAAGTTTTGATCATGCTGATAATTTAGAGGCCCTAGAAATTAATGTAGGCTATTAAATATGATACAGCAAGTTTTATAGGGTAACGGTAACTCTATTGTTCTGAAACTGTGCTTGTCCGAGCGCCCCCGTGAGGTACTGGACATTTATATTATTTTTTTTTGAATTATTTGAATTTTTTAATATTAATTTTAAATAAATTTATACATTTTTAATATATACACTGCCGTTCAAAAGTTTGGGATCAGTAGGATTTGTACTGTCTTTTAAAGAAATCTCTTCTGCTCATCGTGGCTGTATTTATTTGATCAGGAATACAGAAAAAAAACAGTAATATTGTGAAATAAAACGTTATTGCAATTTAAAATAATGGTTTTCTATTTTAATATACTTTAAAATATAATTTTATATTGTGAGTTAAAGCTGAATTTTCAGCCTCATTACTCCAGTCTTCAGTGTCACATGATCTTCAGAAATCATTCTAATATGCTGAT